CGATGGATAGAGAATGGAAGCAGTTAGCTTCCTCTCATAATTGGGGCATACCAGGGGTTGTGACACTAAATATATATATATATATATTATGATTATTCCGTCTGTCTTTTGTTTTCAGCGGTTGAGATTCTTGCTGACATCATACAGAATAGCACCTTGGGGGAGGCCGAGATTGAGCGCGAACGGGGCGTGATCCTTCGAGAAATGCAGGAAGTAGAGACCAACTTACAGGAAGTGGTCTTTGATTATCTTCACGCCACCGCTTACCAGAACACAGCCCTTGGACGGACGATTTTAGGACCCACCGAGAATATTAAGTAGGTGTTCTGACCCAGCTCCCCAAACACGGCAAATCCTCCAATCTCCCACTGCCATGCTGGCAGCTTCCCCCCATCCAGTTCCGGTCAGGTGCAGAGGTGCAGAGACAAAGGATGACCTTGGCTTTCTAGAAAGAATGTTGTTATGGTTACATCGGATCTAACTCCGTACAATCCCATTTTCCCATAATAGAAAGTGTGGCAGGCCAAAGATCCAAAAGAAAAGATGGCTGCAGGCCTGACATTCACATGGTGATCTGTTTAATGACCAGAAGAACATATGACTAATTCCAGGCTCAATTACACTTATAAGTCGAAGGCTACTCATTCAGGTAGTCCTCGACTTACGACCACAATTGTACCCGGAATTTATGTTGCAAAGTTGAGCCGGTTGTTGAGTGAATTGTGCCCTATTTTAGGGTTTTTCTTCCCACGGCTGCTAAGTGAATCACTGCAGTTATTAAGCCAGTCATTAAATGAACCTGGCTTCCCCATTGACTTTGTCACAAGGTCGTAAAAGGGAATCACGGGACCCTGGGACACCGCAACCGTCATAAAGATGAGTCTGTTGCGAAGTGTACGACTTTTGATCATGTGACACTGAGGATACTGCAACGGTCGTTAAGCGTGCAAAAATCCCGTCACACTTTTCAGTACCGTCGTGACTTCGAACGGTTCACGAAATGAACTGCTGTTGAGGACCACCTGTATTTATAATAGTAGTTTTGCTCTCCCCCCCACCGCCTTTGCATAGTTTTATTTTTTCATTCCTTGGTTTCACTCATCTTTTAGGTCCATTAACCGCAATGATTTGGTGGAATATATCACAACGCATTACAAAGGACCGAGGATTGTGCTGGCGTCTGCAGGAGGTTGGTGCTGTTGGTCTGTAATATCAGCATGATTTATTTTAGGTTATTTTTTCCCTGCTGCTTAGCATCCTTCTTAATTGTTTTTTGAAAATGTCTTTTAAAAAAAAATATTGTTTATTTTAAATGCTTAAAACACATCAACAAAAACATACACAAAACTTACAGACAACATCGGAACTGCACATTCCTTCCTACGGCAGATATCTATCGGTGCATCTTTACAAATATTATTTTCCCCCCTCTATACGTTCTGGTTTTACACTAATGGTCCTTTTATTTCTTACTCTTTTACTTAGTCTTATATTTGGTCATTCGTATCAGACAGTCGTCGTTACCTTTCTTCTATTGTACCTCTTTTTCTACTTTTATAAATCCTACTGTTCTGTTCTGACCCCCGCCCCTCGTCCTACACCAAAGCACGCCGAGACAAAGATACTTCAAAGAATTTATTAACACAGAGACTAGACCTTGGCAGCAATCCAGCACAGACTCATCTTGGCAGCAATCCAGCCTGCCAAGCTAGCCACGATAGCTTTTCCAGCTCTAGTAAATACGTTGACTCCTGCCACGAGCATGTGGAACGTCATTCCTTTTATAGTCTTGAGAGGAGCCTAATTGCCACCAGCTGAGTTCAATTATCTCCTGCAACTGCATAACTGTTCTCCGTTGCCGGGCATCCAGGACCAACTCCCTTGTCTCCTCCCCACTGCTCCAATGCATGACATCAGGATCACACTCCCTTGTCTCCTCCCCACTACTCCAAGGCTTGACTTTTGGTTCTCACCGCTGCCTCAGGCGCCTCCTGGTGGCCAACCAGCCTCTCTGCGCCCTGCTCTGAGTCGGAACCCTGTCCAGGGTCCTCCACATCTTCCAGAGCCGACTCATAGGGCCCCTCGCTGTCGGAGTCTGGTGGCAGCTCCAACGGCTCCTGCTGGGTCACAACAATGTTCCTACTTTCCTACCACTGAAAATGCCTAAGAGCCAATACTCTGGACCTGTTGGCCCTTAGCAGGGAACAAGGATTAAATATGGGCGATCGACTCTAAAGAAACGAAAGGCAATCTTATAAATCAGGGGTGTCAAACTCGATTTCATTGAGGGCTGCATCAAGGTTGTGTTTGACCTCGGGGGGGAGGGAGGATGTGGTCAGGGTGGGCCTGGCCAGCTTGATGTCACTTGTGTCGGGGGCACCCGTGGTGGCCAGAGCGCTCTACCAGCAAAAACGGGCTCCCAAGCTCAGTTTTCAGCCGCGATTGCCTCTTGCAACCCTCT